TAGAACTTATAAAGTTTAAAGGATAAGGATGTAAAACAAGATCAGTTTATATTATTTTCTAGCTGGAAATATATAACTCCATTAACTTTAGTAATAGGGTTTATCTTAAAGCAACATAATCTTTACTATCTTCTGGCTTCCGGATAAAACAATACATTTCAGAATTTTCAAGACTGGTTATATGGCTGCACTGGGCACTTGCTATTTAAAATTTTCAACTCTTTAATTAACTGATTTTTACATTTGCAAATATTTTGCAAATTCCTAGCCTTTATTGCATTTGAAACTAAAAATTCTTCTTTGTTTCAAAACTTTAATTTACAAGCAAAGTCTTACGACAAAAGTTACAAGCGAAGTACGTATATCAGAATACGAACCTCGTGTGGCAAATCAGAATTTTGTAAATTTTAAACAATTTGGAGCAACTGATGCAATTGTTCTAAACTTTCTACAAAATTGATTGGTTAATAAAAACATTCTCCAATCATATTTTAAACATTTTTGGACTTTTTTGCAAAAGGTTTGTAGCAACTGATGTAATTGTTATTTTAATAAATAGTGATTGGTTTAAATTGTTTTTTAACCAATCATTTATGATTTAGAGAACAATTGCATCACTTGCTACAAAGTGGTAGGAAAAATTTGAATAAAAATGTACTAATATGATTGGTTTAAAGCCTAAAAAATTTATTCTTTAACCAATCACATTTGTATTTGGTGAAGAACAATTGCATCAGTTGCTCCAAAACAAAGGAAATTTAGTGCAAAAGGACTGATGTACGCGCATCAGTGGCGACACCCTAGATCCGCCCGTATATATATATATATATATATATATATATATATATATATATATATATATATATATATATATATATATATATATATATATACATATATATATATATCATGTTATGATATATATATATATATATATATATATATATATATATATATATATATATATAATTTTATTTATAAATCTTTATTTAAAGTTGAATAGCATTACAAGTAATGAACAGTACAATATTATCCATCATTAAATACTAAAAAAAAGGTTACCAAAAATGCAGGCAAACATGTTATTCATGTATTGAAAAGGCAGTGGAGCTCCCAATGTTTTGTGGCATGTTGCTGACACCATCACAAAGAATACAGAGACTTTTGAATAAAAAAATTGTTGATAGGTGGTGGTCTTTGCAGTGTTCAGAGCTAATGGGAATCTGTTTGGGTTTCTGCTGTCGGTGTGAGCTAATTTAGTGGTTATAGGATGGGATGAGTCAGCAAGGATCTTTTTAAGGATATTAATACAGAACTTGTCTAGTAACTCTTCGATGGCAAAACTAATATTGAAGCTGCTTGAATTGGTTACATCAATTTCAATAATGTTTAGAGCATTTCTGTAAAAATTTGTATATATATATATATTTTTTTTTTATGTAAAATTTAAAAAGCTAATGCATTATTGTATTTGTAATAATAAGCGCCATGTAATTCAAACACTAAGTCCAATGATTGCATACCTATGCCAACAAGTTCAACTCCTCATTGAAAAAAATCTGTTTTCATTCAAAATAGCTGGGGCTCTTGATTGAGTAAAGGCTAGAGATGGTGTAACGAAAAAAATACTCATCTTAGGCAGTTAAACGCATCCAGCTCATATCTTGTAGAAGATATGAGCTGGCAAAGACCTCCTAGGCAAAGACTTAAGGGGTAATCAGAATCTTTTCAGCCTCACACCCTTTTTTTCATCTATAAGGCTGGCAAAGATGTATTATAATACATTGTTTCCGGTTTAGAATTTGACTGCTTAATCTTCTTGACTCAATGAATAGGTTTTGTTTGTGTCTCTGTTTTTATGACTAGGCAACTCATTCTAGTAAATCCTAATGAGGGTGCAGCTCTAAAGCTCAGTTTTATGGTTCTGAGGCTGGCTGGTAGTCAGGTTTCCCGAACACTGTGGTAGCTCTTAGAGAGACTGGTTCCATCAACAGCTGAAAAAATATCAAAGTACTAGCAGTGCCATGTTGCGCATAAACGGTGTCCCTGTTCAAACCTTTTTGTGGTTTGTTAAGGCCACATTTGGAGTAATTTAATGTTTATCATACTGAATGGCTTGGCTTTAGTTTCAGTGACTCTGCAGGTGTTAAGGCCAACAACTTTTGCCATTCTCAATCTCTCAGACAAATACTCAACTTTCCAATTTGCTTTCCAGACAATCTTAATCATTTACCTTCTCTACTTGAGTTATGTTGTGTTTCTAATCCTAGTCAGTGCTAAGTTTCTTCATAATTACCCTTAGGTGCTTCTGATTACGGTTTGATCTCTCTAAAACTATTAACTTGTTATTCTTCATCATCGGAATCCCACTACCATTGTACCTCTTACAAATACCTTAAAGCTGACTGGGACTCTTTCTGTGATTTTGTATGTGATAGACCTTGAGTAGAAATCTTTTGTCTTCCTGCTGACAAATGTGCTTCTTATGTAACTACTTAGATTCAGGCTGGCATAGAATCCTTTATTCCCTCTTGACAATACTGCGTCAAGCCTCACTCTTTCCTATGATTTTCCTCTCATTGTGCTGCTGCAACTTTCCTATTTATCAGCAAAACATTTCTCCAGAAGATAGAGGTCTATTTACTACTGCTAGAAACCATTGTAAAAAGGTTTTGTCTGATGCCAAAGCTGCTATTCTCAGGTCACAAAATCTCATATTTCATCTCAAAATATAGACTCTCATGACTTCTGAAGAATCTTTAACAGCGTCTATAACAAGGGTAATCTGTTATTCTATCTCTCTTGTATGGTTCAGAATTTGTCACCTCACCTAAAGACAAAGCTGAATTGTTTGCTAAGAACATCTAATCAATATAATCTCTTGATTCCACTAGTTGCATTCTACCTGATATAGCTGACAAACAGGTTGATCCCTTGCTTGACATTCGTATCACTCCAACTATATCTAAAGTGATTTCCTGCTTAGTCTATTCTACAGCTTGTGGTCCAGACAACATACCTGTTATAGTCTTGCAGAAGTGTTCTCAGGAGCTGTCGTCTATACTTTCAAAACTATTTAACAAATGCCTATCAGAGTCTTGTTTTCCAGCCTGCTGGATAGCAACATCTGTTATCCCTAACTTCAAAAATTCTGAAGAGCGATCTGACTTGTCTTACTACCGACCGTTAGTCTTCTTACTATCATGTTTTTGAGTCTTTAAATATTTAATTATTAAACACTTTATCTTGAATCTAATAACTTTCTGATAATCAATATGGGTTTTGATTATCTCTCTCTACAGCTGTTTTGTTAACGGTAATAACTGATAGCTTTTATTGTGCATTTGATAAAAATGTTGAGAGCGATAGACTAAGTCTATCGCTCTCAACATTTCTGAAACTTTTCATAAAGTTTGCCATGCTGGTCTTCTCCATAAGCTCTCTTTTTACATTGTATCAGGTAACATCTTTAAGGTTATTAAATCCTTTCTTACCAATTGTGGTATAAAAGTTGTCCTCGATTTTTTCAATTAACATCAACAATTTCCTAGAAGTTCTCACATTTAAGGTGGCATTGTTTGCTGATAATACTACCATTTATTCTTGTTTCAATAAAACCCCAACACTCTCTGACTGCTTGGAGAGGGCATTTGAGCTTGAAAAGTATCTCCTTCTGCAACATCATTGGGCTCTCTGTGACTGGTAAGCTTTAACTCAGATAAAATTCTTTTGAAAATTTTTTTTATTTTAGTTGATCATTATTGCAATAATCTAGATTTTCCTATATTTATGAATGGTAATGTACTCCAGCCCTTCATCTTTTAGGATTAACTGTTACGATATCTCTTGGAAACAATATATCAAATCCACAGCAAAATTAGCATCTGCTAAGGTTGCATCTCTTTATTTTGCTTGTCACTCAATCTGGATTCTATTCTTTATCTCTATAAATCTCAAATCTGTTTTTGTATGAAATACTGTTGCCATATCTGGGGCGGATCTTCCAATGATGCCCTTTTTCTTTTAGACATGGTGTAAAAATGCATTGTAAACATAGTTGGACCTGCTGTTGCAGCTAACCTTCAACCATTGTCACATTATTATAATGTTGTTATTCTTTCTCTTTTCTGTAAATACTACAATGGATACTGTTCTAAAAGCTAGCGTCTCTACTAAAATTAATTCTAGTGCTATTCATCATTAAATTAAGTGTCATCCTTTTATTGTGGCGTTTCCTAAGTGCTTTAAAAATTCTTATTTGTCCAGTTTTTTTCCCTTGAATATACCTATATTCAAGGGAAAAAAACTGGACAAATAAGAATTTTTAAAGCACTTAGGATTTTGGGATTCATTCCCTTCTTCTTGTTTTCATGATTCATATAACTTGCAATCTTTTAATTGATGTGCTAATTGTTTAACTTGCTCTTTAAAGTTCATCTTTTTTCTTCCAATAACTTCCAACTCTAATAGTGTTAGGTTGCAGCCTTGTTGAAAGTAAAACTGTTGAAAAAAAATAAATTACTATTATCTTCATAGATTGTTGTTGTTGTTGTTGTTGTTGTTGAGGGTGAGAATGGTTGTCTGAAAACTCAATTTATTGTTTTTTTTTGTATTTACTTATTTTACTTATTTTGCAAAAATTTTAAATATAAAACTAAAAATTTAAAAATATGTAAAAATTTATAAATATAAAAATATTATTACCTTTTAAAGCAGTTAAATACTACTTAAAACTCATAAGAAATTTTTTTTTTCAATATAGCAACCCTTACCATTTTGACTAGTTAACCAGGTTTGATGGATAAGTTAGATTTAAGAGCAAGGCCCTTTTAATTATCACTTATTAGCACAGCTCAAGTTTTTTAATATCTATGTAATATCTTCTAATTTATATGTACACCAAAAACATATTCATCAACTGATTTATATATTTTTTTGACACCCTAATATGAATGCTTTAAAAAAATATTTAGAAAAACTTATATTTTATTTTGTATTAGACTCTGTCAATCTTGGTGCAGCTGTTGCAATTTTAAAAAATGATCATCAAACATATGGACTAGTGAGATTTGTACAGGTTTATATATATTATTGAATTATTAGTCGCTTTATAAAATTGCATATAAATATGATACATTGCTTTTTGATTAAAACAATTACATTTTTTTATTAATAGTTATATAAAAATAAAATTATTTTTTTTTTTATATTCATATTTGGTAATTTTATGTTTAAAGGAAAAGTTAATAAAAAAAGTTATTGTTCAAACAATTTAAGAGCCGTTGCCTGTAAGAATTATGCAATTTTGAGAAAAAAAATACTGAATTACACGATGTCCACTCCTTTTTACATATATGTTTTGTATAATAGATGCAATTATAAATACAAAATATTTTTGTCTAAATATTTGTTGTTTTGCCATGGAGGTATTTTGAAAATTGTATGAACTTTATATCAAATCCGTTGCAAAATTAGCATCTGCTAAAGTTGCTTCTCTTTATCGAGCTCGTCACTTTCTTACTCTGTTTTGCCATGGAGGTATTTTTTAAATTGTATGAAGTTTAGTCAGTTTATTTTGCATTAAGAAATACTTTAAGAAACTGTTGGAAGCAAAGATAATTGAAAAAAAAAAAAAAAAAAAAGCCAGCCAGCTACAAATTTTACTAGAAAAATTAAAAATAAAAAGTTGCTTGTTGTTAGCACATTAATCATGAAAAATTATTAATTTTAAAAAGCTGACTCTATTGAAATCAACATGGCCATGCAGATTTCTTTACACTAATTTTCCATTATGAAAAATAAAGTTATGTATGGTTGCATTGGCATCTTAACAAATCAGCTGTGAATAACAAGTTTTGAAAAAACTGTTCTAACTTTAGACCACTATAAAAACTGAAGTCAAAAGATTTGAAAGATTAATTAAAAATATATTCATAAAAGTATATATATTCATAAACTCACAAATAAATTGACTGTCATATATAAAAAAATCTACATGCAAACTCTCTAGAAAAATCAATTTGAAAAATGATGAAAGTCTGATATTTTTAATAAAATTTACTTGTACAATAAATATTTACAACATATAAAAGCTAGTATATAAGTGATAGAATAAATTAAATAAAAAGTATTCAACAAAATCCTACAAAACAAACATATGCTTGACATATGTATGTTTGTTATCCTACAAAAAAATTATGCTATTCAAGATAACTTTAACTTTATCAAAGTTGCTTGCTGGTACATTGAAATATGATCTTAGGTTTGTTGGAATAGTTAGTGCAATTTGACATAAAATTTGATCTTCCTCGTAGTTATGGATTTGCTCTGTTCCTGGCCATTTGAAGCAGTTTTTGTTGCATGCTACTATGTATTCTATGCACGAAACACATACGCTATTCTCATTAGTCTGAACAATGAAACAAATTATTAAATTGAATAACTACATTTGAGTAAAACAATGTTTAAACGTTTTCAGAAGAACCAAATAAAAAAGTTTACCTTTGCAACTATACCAGCGTACAAAATTGCTATTATGTTCCACAGCCACCCTACTGTCTCTCTTATACGCAGCTAACTTATCAATAATAAAATGTACTTGAATAAAAAAATGCACTGATAATAGAAATAATTCACTGATACTAAGTATTAATGAATTCATAGATACAAAAAAAGTTTGACATAAAATTTCATCTTCCTTGTAACTACATCAATTTTTGTCAAAGCAGTTATCAAATAAATTTGTGGTTTAATCTATACAATACTGCCAAGGATGTTGAATTAAGGGTAATTAATTTATAAAATAGTTTCCTCATATAAATATATATATATATAGTACAAAAATTCATAGGAAATATACTTCACAGGAAGAAAAAATACATAGGAAATATTTTTCTTTGAAAAATATTTCCTATGTATTAAGATCAAACACAATTAAAGTATCATGTTCTTAACATGTAACCTTATAAAATTTTTATGATTTTTTCATATTTTTTTCAATTTTCAAATTGATTTTTCTAAAGAGTAAATTATGATCTTGTATAAACTTTTTTTGGATATGACAATCTGCCCTTTTATGAAAAAATCTTTAGTTAATAGTATTTTCAAATCTTTAGGCTTCATTTTTTATAGCAGTCTAAAAGTGAAACAGTTTTTTCAAAAATGTGTTTTTATAATACCAATGCAACCATGTGGAATTTTATTTTTTTAATTAAAGAATAAACCCACTGCTAACATCCGGTGTAAAAATCCATTTTGCTACGTTGGCTTCAATAGTAAAAATTACAACTTCTTGAAGTTCTTGAAGTTTTTTGTACTTTTAGGCTATGATTTCTAAACAGCAAACAACTTTTTATTTTTAACTTGTGGCTGGTTGTTATTAATAAGTTAACAAAACTTATGTTATGTAACTAATGTTTCAGTTGTAGCTTTTTAAAGTATGACATAATGTAAAATAAGAAAATTGACTGAAATTTCAACAATAAATATTTAGACAGCACAATAAATATTTAGACAAAACAATAAATATTTAGACAAAACAATAAATATTTAAACAAAACAATAAATATTTAGACAAAAATATTTTGTATTTATCAATGCATCTATTATATAAAACAAATATGTGAAAAGGACTAAATCAGCAGCATTCAGTATTTGCAACTGTCTTGTTCTTACAGATTGTTTTTACAGACAATGGTTCTTAATTGTTAAAAGTTTACTAATTTAAAATTCTTTAATTTAATGTTTGTATCATTTAAGTTAAGTGTTTAATTATGGCAATTCACTTTTCCAAGGGAGAGAAGTTGAGAGAGGGTTGTAAATGTAATTAAACTGCAGCCACTTCAAATATAATGGCTATGGTTGAGGAGGCTGTTTTAAATGTGATTACAACCCTCTCTCAACTTGGAAACACAAGCCTTAAAGAACACTGCTGTGAGGGGAAATAATTTAAGCTTAGTACTACCAGGAATGTGTTGGGGATCGAACTTGAAATTTCTTGCTTATGAAGCAAACAATCTACCACTTTACCACTATTGCATTTAATTAATTTTATACATAACAAAAGTGATTAAATTTAATACATAATATAAATTGTTAAATCATATCATAGTGTTATACATTCGTGAAGCTGTTTTACTGCTGTTTTATTCAGTTAAGTTTTGATAACATTAATAACATAAAAACGCATTTAAAATATTACAAAGTAGATAAATAGAATTGTTTTAATATAATAAAACATTATTGTCATAAAACTTTAAACTTCAAATTTGCGCAAAAACTTGCTATATCTAGAGACCAAATGAGTAAGATCAAAGCAAAAAAACATTAGATACCATGTTTTTTAGAATTTATTGCTTCTTGATCTGTTACTTTAAAAAATTTAAGTATAATAAATGTACTACTAAAAATTTAAGTATAAATAATTTTCCATTCAAATGGTTTTTAAGTTAATGATTTTATCGTTCAAATTGTTTTGTAATAAAAAGTGAGAAAAAAATCTGGGTAATAAATCAAATTATATTTCCTTAAGCTTAAGTATATGCTTAAATGATTTTTTTTGAAAAAAATTTCTTTAAACAAAAGTAAAATAATTTATTTTTTTGAATTTAAATTTTTTATACTTTTTTTTACTTTCACTTGTTTAATGTTTGCAATTGAATGTTTGCAATCGAATGTTACTTTTAAAACTATTTTTAAGAAACAAAAAAGAATTAACTATTCAAATTGATTACGATTTAAATATAATTTTCTTCCTCACTTGGACTATGTTTACTTACACTATGTTTTAAATCTGATATTGTTACTGTAGCTAGATATATGTTTAACTTTCAGGAATGATCCTTGCTATGCCACAAGGTATTATGAATGCTGCTGCAATTCAATTTATAATCATTGATTGTTAAAATTCTTTTAAATTTTTCTTTTTTTTTTTTTTTTTAATTTCAAATTTTAATCGCCAGGTTATTTGAATGAGGGAATTTTAAAAGATTAAAATTCTTTTGTTTAAATAGATGTAAAAATTCCTAAAAACAACTTGCATATTTATAGAAAATATTTATCGTGATATTGCTTTAAATAAAATAAAAATATAAAAAAATAGTATAGCATTATTTATATCCTGCTTGAGATTTCTTGTTAAAATAATTTTTAGTTAAAGGCTTATATTATGTGTTAACAACATATAAGATATAAGAAACATTTATATGACTAACTTTTGCTATTCTTTGAGTATATTAAGTAAATTTAATATTTGAGTAACGGTAAGTTACTATAGTACTTAACTGGTTGTTTTGATGTAGTTTATAGGTAAATTTACTGTGATCTACTTGACTGTGGTAACTTTAAAATATTATTGGCTTCCATGCAGAGATTTAAAGTAATTTAAATGAAAAGCCCTTTATGTTAAATATATATATATATATATATATATATATATATATATATATATATATATATATATGTATGTATATATATATATATATATATATATATATATATATATATATATATATATATATATATATATATATATATATATATATATATATATATATATATATATATATATATACTATATATACACACACACACATGTGAAACGATGACCGATAAAAATAAGAAAGTTAACATTTCTCAGTTAGAGATTTTTAAGGTTTTATTAGATTTACTGTAGAGAAAACCCTACAAAGTAAAAAAAAAACAGTTGCCAGTTTTTTCTCAATTTGAGTTCAATCTCAAATTTAACATAATGATGCTTTGTAATCATAAATATTGGCTTGACTAATTTTTATTTTATTTTGACATTCACCATGCTGATTTTTACCAGCTCATATATATATACGATAAAATATATAGATCACCAATTGCTTACTCTTATATTGCTGTACTTATAAAATAGACAGTAACTCCAAAATTTCCATTCTGAGATATTCTTAAAAAACAAAAAATGTATTAGCCAACCAGTCAGCTTAGTACATGTCAGAAACTTTTAATATTATCAATTGACTTTAAAAAAAGAGCTTTCCTGAGGTTTTAATTATTTTTAAATTTTTTTATTTAATTATCATAATTAGGCACTGTATATTGCTTAATTATGATAATTAGATAAAAAATTACTATGTTTTTGCTATGTCCTAAAATTATTATCTGCACTGTTAGCATGTTTCAGGTAAGAAAAAAAAAATGAATATGGTCTTTTTGCTTTGTACCATGAGAAAATATATGTTAATGAAGTTAATTCCACTCCAAAGTCATTTTTCTTTTTTTTTTTCACTAACTGTCTATTTTGTAGGTAAGGCAGTATAGTATACAAACTTTTCAGAAAAAAAAGAAAAAAACAAAGAATAATGAAAGAAAAGATTGCTGCCCCAGCCTAAACCCTCAGTCAATGTAGTGGCACTTCTTTGTGGAAACAGGCTATGATATAGTTGATATATGTATCAAAGCCCCTGTCAGCAGCCTATTTCAGTATGACATCACACTGCTTTTTAAAGCACATTTTATATATATATATATATATATATAAATATATATATATATATATATATATATATATATATATATATATATATATATATATATATATATATATACATACATACATACATATACATTCAATTATATTCAAATATATTTTTTATATTTTTAACTTATATTTTGAAATCTATTGGTTCTGTTTATTTTTATACATTCAAATATATAAATATATTTTTTAATATCAAATAATATAATATAAAAATAAAATAACTCAAATATTGAAATCTATTGATTCTGTTTATTTTTTCTTCCAGAAAGACTTAAATTCATGTATTATTGATGGATCAATTAGCAAGTTGAGTCCTTTTTGTAAACATGCTGTACACATTCATGAACTTGGGGATTTAAGTAATGGCTGTGAAAGGTAAAATATATTTGTAAACACAGGTATACACGCACACATGCGCGCACACACACTCATAACAATTTAACAATTTAAGTAACTATTTCAATGATTGAGAAAACTAATTAAATTTAATAATTATAAAAAACACAATATATATATATATACATATATATATATATATATATATATATATATATATATATATATATATATATATATATATATATATATATATATATATATATATATATATATGTATATATATATATATATATGTATATATATATATATATATATATATATATATATATATATATATATATATATATATATATATATATTACTTATATCTTAGATAACACATAGGCATCGGGCCGCTATCAGCGCGACATCTAATATAGATATAAAAAATACAAGAAGATGTTATTTTTATATATTTTTGATAGGTGGTTATTCATCAGCAGGATGTAAACAAAGATGTCAAAATAATATTGGCGCAACCTTTGCATCCGATCAAATATAGATGTAATTTTTACATATTTTTGATAGACAGCTGCTCATCGACAAGTTGTAAATGAAGATGTCAAAATAATATCATCTTGATATATGCATATATATATATATATATATATATATATATATATATATATATATATATATATATATATATATATATATAGTCTTACATGGTAGTCACAAAGTTTTTCTCATAAACTGTTGTTTTAAAAAGCGCGTTAATAAGCCTGACCAGAACATGTTGAAAAACTTCCAAAAAAATTTTTTTTTAATCGATAGACTGCCTGCCAAAACCAAACCCTCAGTCAATGTAGCAGCACTCCCTTAAAAGTCAGGCTATTTGTCAGTCAATGTAGCAGCACTCCCTTGCGAGTCAGGCTATAAGATAGTCGATGTAGCAACACTCACTTGTAGCAGTAGGCTATAAGATAGTAAACTTGTAGCAACACTTACGCATGTTTTAAAAATGTTTTTTAATAAAATAAAAACAAAAATACCACTAATTAAAAAAAACTTTCTAGTCATTATTATAGCGGTTTTTTTAAAAAACAATAAAATTTAATGTACTTCCGCATTAACTTAATTGATTTGACATTTCGACGACAATAAAATGCAGCTTAAGAGACAAGTTAAAAAAATTCTAGTCGAAAGAGACTTTTTTTTACCATAAAAGTCTCTTTCAATTACACTATAAGGATTTATTTATATATATATATATATATATATATATATATATATATATATATATATATATATATATATATATATATATATATATATATATATATATATATATATATATATATATATATATATATATATATATATATATATAAAGAAGCAAAATTTTATAAAAATTTAAAAAATAATAAAAGTTTTACATAAGATATATTATTTTAAGTTTTATTGCATAAAAAATATTATTTTATAACATGAAATTAAAAAAAAAATTTCATGGTTTTTGGTCGAATTATTTTTTTCAAGGTGTTTTCAACAAAAAGTAAAAACCATTTTTGAAATTTTTATAAAGTTTCGCTTCTTTTGAGACCTAACATGGCATACATTTGAAAAACTTTTTATTCTTCTGTTTAGGGTCTTGTTGCAAGTTTCAGACCTGAGGTAGCCTAGCTAAATCTCACTCAATTTTGAAAAAATTTAATAGAGTGTCTTTTGAGAACCAATAGAAAGTTTTAAGAATAGGGACAGATCAATTTTTGAAAGTATGGGGCATTTGATGCACCCTAATATATATATATATATATATATAATATATATATATATATATATATATATATATATATATATATATATATATATATATATATCGGAAATTCCGTCCGGATTTCGGGTACATTCCTATTTAAAATTGAAATGCCTTAGCAATTTGTTAGCAATTTTTGTATTTTACTGTTTTTGTATTTGTATTTTGAACTTTGTTTTAAAAATCTAGTTTTAGGATTTGAAACATACTTCCTTTAATTTTGTAAGCATGTATTGCAATGTTTTGTTGTTTAAATTAGGTTTTTCAGATTTTAAAATGCTAACTATTGCTAAGCAGATACTTGAGAGGCAATTTGCCCAAATTTTTAACCAGTTCTCTATGAGCTACTTAATTAAGTGCACTTTTAAGCTTAAAGTATTTACCTTAAGGTAAATGGGGTAAATGGGCTATTTTAAAAATTGGGGTAGTATGGCCAGGAGTAGTTCGTAAATATAATCTAAAAGTTTATAGCTCTTGTATTTTAGCAAATGATTGAAAAAAACAGTCAAAATGGGGTCATATTACCCCATCTATATATATATATATATATATATATATATATATATATATATATATATATATATATATATATATATATATATATATATATATATATATATATATATATATATATATATATATATATATATATATATATATATATATATATATATATATATATATATATATGTATATATATATAACGCTAAACCTTGATGATGGTTCTTTTCAGCCATACCGCAAACCAGATAATATACTAAATTATATACTTCTGGTACATATCTGAGCTAGCTTTTAGAACCAGAGGATAATATAAATCCTATGTATGGATGCTACATCCATCAAAGGTCATTTGTAGTATGGCTGGGTTGGCTAGATGAATGGAGAATGCTTTTGTTTGTGGTACATATCTGTGCTAGCTTATGTATAATTGTCCTTGGACATTTAATACTTTTTTCTACAACCATTGGTATGTGTGTGTATCTATAAATATGTATGTATATACAGTATTGGACAAAACATTTGCAATCAATATCGAACAATGCTAAAAAGTTGTCTTAATTTTACATGTCTTAAAAACAAAACGAACTATACTACCACAGCAAACAGTTCAGGAGTCTGGAGTCATAGCATGCCATGACATGAGCAATCAGCTGACAGATGACAGCACACAGACAGAATTTTGTTGACAAGTGGCAACTTTTTTGGTTTGTTTCATTTTCTTAAGTCTGGTCCGTGTCAACGTCAGGGAAGTTTTTTAATAATTAAAGGAAGTATCCTGAAATTTCCAGAAGTTTCCAGAAGCATGCAGAAGCTTCCAGAAGTTTCCAGAAGAAGCATCTGGAAGCGTCCAGAAGTATCCAGAAACATTCAGAAGCTTCCAGAAGCATAGAAAAGAAGCATCTAGAATCTTCCAGAACAGGTTCACACAGGTTCATTTTACTATATAAGAGACATGTAAACCGACATGTAATTCAATCAGTATATGGAAGTCAATCAGTCAGTATTATCAAGACAGTTTATCGAAGTGAGTTTTACCAAAGTGTTTTATCAAAGAACATCAATATAAGAAGTGAAATACAACTAGTGTTTCATTACATCAATACAGTCCACATCCAACCAAGATGTGTTCCACAGGGTATTATTGTATCATCACAAGGTAAATGTAACACGATAAGCCTTGAGAAGTGTGATTATTTATTTTTATTATTTTTATGACTTTAAGTGCAAAAATGGCTCCCGACAGTCTTGGATTGGAACTAAGAAACAAAATTATTGGTGATTACGTAAGTGGAATGTCACAAAAAAGTATTTGTGATAAATATCGCGTGAAAAAATGGACCGTATCAAGACAATGTTCTAAATATCGTTCTACGGGGAAGTTGGCAGCAGATAACAATGGTGGAAGACAGAGTTCCACCACTTCTAGAGAGGATTCTATGGTCGCCAGGTCCGTCAAGAAGGATCCCTTGATATCATCAATCGAGATACAAAAGCAGTTAGAGCTGCCTGTATCGGGTCAAATAATCAGACGACGTGCTGTTGAAGCCGGATTGTTTTCTTGACGCACTGCAAAGAAACCACTGATTTCACTAAAGAACCAGAAGAAAAGACTCCTGTTTGCTACATCTCATCTTGACTGGAATATGTAGAAATGGCGAACTGTCCTGTTCAGTGATGAATTAAAGTTTAACATCATTGGAAGCGACGGCATTTGCCGTGTACATCGACCGGCCGGAAAACGCCGGTCGATGTACACGGTTTAAAAATTATGATTAAAACTTTATTTAAAAGCGTTTAGCTTAGTGTAAACGAATTTTATTAGAAAATTTACAAAACGTAACAAAATAACTTTGTTATGTTTTCGACTATTAAATGTAAAGATCCATTAAAAAGTTTATTAAAACAATTGTTTTTGTTGTAATTTATAAAACTAGTTGTACAAATTGTTTTAAAAACATTTACATTCATCGTAAAAAATACACTTTTTAACAATATAATATCTTGATAATGTAAATAAATGTCTTTCATAGTTAACAATCTTTAAAAGATTGCAATCACTTTGGCATGAGCATATAGGTTTAAACTAGTTTTTTTTTAGTGTTGCATAGTGTATAATTCAAATTGGGACCTGATATAAATATAACTCTGATGTTTTGTTTTTTAATTTTTTTTTTTTTTAAGTTTTGAAATAATAATAGGCATTCAATGCAGTGTAACATACTAATGTTATTCTTGAGATATTATATTTTTTTAGCCCTGGTCTTTATTTATTTTAATAAAATGAATTTTATTATAGCTGTTTTCAGAAAAATCTATCAAGAAATTAATGCCTTGTGTAAAAAACAATTTTTTTGTTTAAAGGTTGACATGAAATAGGAAGTAGAGAAATTCTTCTCAACCAAGCTGACAACGACATTTTGAAAACAAGAACTTGGGGACAATTTTTCCCAAAATGCTAAGTGGCGTCATCAATATATTATTTAATTATTTTTTTTAATGTCTTCTTTTTTAAAGATTTGTGATTTTTCCATTATGGTATTTCCATGACAACACTGATCACAATTGCTCAGCAAATTGTTGCTAATATATAATTAGAGCATAATATAACTGGCAGTGCATGAAACGTAACTGATGAGGTCAAACTAAAATAGTATATAGGTTATTTGTATAATTATATCTTGATATAATTTTACTTTTTTTTTAGCACTGGTGACGTGTACAATCCAATGCCAAGCACAAATGAAAAAGTATGAGTGATTTCTATTAAGTTAATTGTTGTTATAAATATTGAGTCAAAAAAATAATTACTTACAAATTAATTGAAAAGGTTGTTTGAAAAACTTAGCCATTTTGTTAAACTGTTTCGGTAAAGTTTAAATGATTGGTTCAAAATTATTTGTAACTATCTTCAACCTTTTTATTTTAGGATTATGTTTTACCATTATTATTTTTTTAATAATTTCTTAGATTATATATACCTTTATCATTTAAGTTTATGTTTGATAATGTGGTGTTTAATACACTTTTAAGGTAGTTTTAATTTTTTTTAAAGCTTTTTCATTGGATAATTTTCTAAAATATAAATATATATACAGTATGCATTTTAAGTTAGAAGTAATTTTTAGTTGGGTTTTTATTAAGGATAATTTTTTGAGAGAATTTTTAGTGATATTTTTAAAAAAAATTTCTTTAGACCTATATCTTGCTTTAGCTCTGCACTAAAAACTTTGGCACATGGCTTAACTGAATTAAAAAATACAGGGTACTTCCTATATTTATAAACTACAGATCTTCATATATTTATGAATAGTAATGTACTCAACAAGTCATCTATTCTTCGTCTTCTAGGATTGACTTTTACTTCTGATCTTTCTTGAAAGCCATATATCAAATCCATTGCAAAATTAGCATCTGCTAAAGTTGTATCTCTTTAATGTTCTTGCCACTTTCCTACTCGGGATTCTATTCTTTATCAATAAATCTCAAACCCATCTTACTATGGAATACTGTAACCATATTTGGAGTCGATCTTCGAATGATGCCCTTTTTCTTTTAGAGAAAGTGAAAAAATGCATAGTTGCAGGTCCAACTATGCATTTTTCTTTTGCAGCCAACATTCAACCATTGTCACATTTTTGTATGGTCTCTTTTCTATAAATGCTACAATAAGAGCTGCTCTAAAGAGCTAGTGTCTCTTGTGCCATCTACAAAAGTTCATTTATGTGTTACTTATCATTCAATTAAGTCTCATTATTTTACTGTGACTGTTCCTATGTGGTCTAAACTTTTTATTTGGTCAATTCATTCATGCAGAGAATTATTTGTTTAATTGATTCATGTAAGGCTTTGAGTTGATATATCTATGCAAATACAATACTAAATTGTTTTTATGTAAATTTATTTTTATTGTAACTAATTTTAAGGGATAGTCGAATTTAATTAATTAGTAATTAGTATTAGTAATCTGCATCTCAAAATAGTACAAGACGAAATGAGACAAAACGATAAAAAATGTTGTTTTGATAAAACTGATACATAATGAAACAAATTTTATATAATTTTGCCAAAAACACTTCAAAACGAAACAAAATTTCCTTGTTTCGAGAAAAATACAGTACAAATTAAAACAATATATTCATGTTTTGTAAAAACAGGTTCGAAACAAAATAAGGTTAAAATTTTTCCAAAATGAAAACGTAAAAACCGAGATAAACAAGAAGTTTCTGAGTTTCATAAGAAATACTAATACTTTTACAATAGATAGGGTTAGCATAAAATAAAAAAGTAAATTACTTTTATATTGTACCGATTTACATAGACATTTTCGATTTTTATGAGAAAAAGATGTTAAAGACTTACTAAATTTACCCATAATTCCTCTAAATTCTGTTGATATGTAATGAATATATTTTACTATAAATTTAAATGTTTTGATAAATAAATTTTGTAAAACTAAAAAATAAATTTTTTAGTTTTACGAAATAAAGAGAAAAATAATTAAATTTTTATATAAGTTTTACTTTAACAATTTTTCTCGAGAAGTATTCTGACTAAAGTTAATGCTGGGGGGATCAAGTGCTTTTTCAGCATCACTTATAATTTTCAAGGTCTTGTGAGGATGGACAAGATTATAACTGACTTTGGTCAAAGGTTAGTTGCTTTGCTGTATAAGTGAAAAGATTGTGTTTTTGTATCACTAATTGTTCCACCCCTGGTGCTGAACACTCTCTCACTACTGCTTGATGCAGTTGGAATGCAGAGCATATCTCTTGCCAACTGTGCTAACAATGGCAAAGTAGAGGCATGTTTCTTTCACCATTTCAGCACAACAACTTTATGCCTTTCTTCAACACGAGACATTGCGTGGAAAGACTTAAGCTCCCATTGAATTTCGAATACATTTTGACTAATGGTATAAACATTATCATCCTGTTGAATCTCTACATTTTGTTAATTGTCGTATTTATCCCTAGCAGTTGGCACTTCAACCTGTATTTTTTTTTTGAATTTCTTTTTCAGTTATCAAAAAAGCTTCTGATGATAGATGGTCATTGATGACTTTCCTAGTGAACTCTTTTAAGATTAACTTTCTAAACATATATCTTGAAATCATAAACAACTATTAAATTTAGTCTTTTAACGAATAACCAATTTTAAGGAATAATTTTTTACCAAAAAATAAAAAATTATTACCTCTAAAATACAGATGAAGGTTTTCCAAGGCATAGTGTTGGTTGTATTTTCCATGTTCATTGAATCGCGTGGCTTTGTTTAAATGCTTACTTGGTTTTTTACAAAAAGCATTAAATATTTCTCTGTTTTCCATATCAATGTGGTTATGAATAAAATTTTAGTTTTATAAAGCATAGTTAGCATCTGATAAAGCACTGGTTCAGTTTCCTTGGAAATCTTTTTAGGACTGGCATCAGTGAAGCCATCAGTGAGATTTAGTTGTCACATGGAATAATGCTCTTTATTGATTTGTTGTTTATTGCATCTTTTTCTCTAAGAAAAATCAACACATCTTTAAGTTTTAGGATTGACTCCAACATAAATTAGTTAGAATTCCACCTGGTTTTGATAGGAGCAATGATTTTATCAGAGCAACACACACTCGTTTTCAATAAGTTGACAAGCTAAGGTGGACCTGTGAACTATGCTAGATTGCTTGCTGGGTGGCAAATATCTAAGCAATCTTTTACTTCTTGCACTTCATTGCTAGCATGAAGTAGGCTTGTTTTTAGTAGGTGGTCTGCACACAACAGTATTTCATATATTTTTTTGCCACCGCATCGTGGACAATGACTTTCTATGGGCACAGTGTTCAACACCGAATACATTTTTTTATTACCCAACTGAATTTTAAATACCCGGATATTTAAAAATTATCCGGCTGGATAATGTAAGTCAAATCCTAAAATATATATATTTATTCAACATCTTTGCTTCCAACGTGGCTGCAAGCAACTACTATTAGAGTCAGACAACTTAAAAGATTGCAAATCATATGAATTAAGAAAGCAAGATGAAGTAAGCAAATTCCAAAGAACTGGTGTTCAAGGAAACAAACTAGATGTATACTAGTGTTATGCAGCGGTAGTAACAAGATTTTATATTTATTATTTATTTCTAAATTAACGAATACGCTTGGCTGCAAAAGTTCAACTATGTTTACAATGCGTTTTTGCACCTTCTAAAAGAGAAAGGGCATCATTGGAAGATCTGCCCCAGATATTGCAACAGTATTCCTTACAAGGTCGGATATAAGATTTATTGAGATAAAGAATAGATTCCGGTGTAAGAAAGTGGCAAGCACGATAAAGAGATGCAACTTTAGTAGATGCTAATTTTGCAATGGATTTGATATATGGTTTCCAAGAATGATCGGAAGAGTTAATCCTAGAAGATGAAGAGTAGATCACTCATTGAGTACATTACTGTTCATAAATAAAGATCTAAATTATTGCGGTAACGATTGGCTGAAAAAAGTTTTACCTGAATTAAAGTTCACCAGCCATTGTGAGCCCCATGCTGTAGCAAAATTGAGATCCTTCTCAAGCTCAAATGGCCCCTTCAAGCAATCAGAGAGTGTTGGCCTCTTATCAAGACAAGAATAAATGGTAGTACCATCAGCAAACAATGCCACCTTAGATGTGAGAATATCTGGAAGATTGTTAATGTAAATTAAAAACAGTATAGGGCCAAGGATTGAACCTTGAGGAAACCCTGAAGTTACGGGATATGAAGAAGAGTATTATCCATGGAGGACAACTTTTATACTATGATTAGTAAGGAAGGTTTCAATAATCTTAAACATGTTAACGGGTACATCTTAAGAAGAAAGTTTATGGAGAAGACCAGCATGCCAAACTTTATCAAAAGTTTTAGAAAAGTCAAGAGCGATAGCTTTAAACTTTCCACCTCTATCTAATGCGCATTAAAATCTATCAGTTATTACTGTTAGCAAATCAGCTGTAAAACAAGAAGATCGAAATCCATATTAATGATCAGAAAGTAAGTTATTAGATTCAAGATGATAAATTAAGTATTTGTTAATTAAAGATTCCAAAACCTTGCTTATGATAGGAAGAAGATTAATGGGACAGTTTAGCTGCCTAAGGAAGTTCAAAATGTATTGAGTTCTGATCAAGTCACTTTTGTAAAAGCTGCTCAAGGAGTTGATATTTTCTTTAATCACTTGATTATAGAAAATAAAATAATGAGGTTTTAAATTATTGGAAACAAAAAGAGGAGTTTCAAAAGCTATAAGAATTATTTATTTTCACAAAATTGTTTTCATTATTTATGAGAAAAAGCAATTAAGGCTACCTCAATGTAGAGAAATGTTAACTTGATGAGCTCCACGTTGAGATACAAGAAATATAAAATAAGTGATAAACTGATGTTTTTGTTGCACACATAATTTTAGTAGTATTTTAATAATAATGATAACAATATAGAAACCATTAACATTAGATTTTTTAAAAATATAACATTTCTAGATTTCTCTCAATTTTCAAATGATATGAACATGAAATTCTGGTATATAAAAAACTGTATAAAGTTATTATCCAGCCAGATATCGGATACCCAATAATACTCCTATCTGGCCTATAAATACGCCAGGATAGTTAATCTGGGACATCCCTATAACTAATTGGGTTTTACAATAAGTTCTTGTTTTTATAATAACTTATTGAATTTTACAATAAATTAATTATTCTTTCAATAAATAACAGAATCTTACAAAAAATAAACTATGCGAGCAGAAAAATAAATTTTATTTTTTAAAATTCTTTTTTCACTAAAAAATTGATTTTTATGAGCACAAATTATACGGCATGAAAAAAAAGAATTACTTTGTTAATATGGTAACCAGTGTATCTTCCCATAAAATTGGCAAAGTTTAGGACGTATTTCTTCAGTTCAAATTGATTATTGATATGGTGAAGAGTAAGAATCATGTATGGTTCCTCTGACCTAGAGGTCCAGCCATTAGTGGTGATAGCCACCTGTTGGCAACTGCAAACTTCACTTTCATTTAGCTTTAGCACATTATCCATAACACTGTTATAAAGCAATGGCAGCTTGTACCTTAAAAAATTTAAAGCATGTTTTGCATTTACTTTAGGATTTAAATGTTCTACCATTTTATTGAAGCATGGTTCATCTACTAGAGTGAAGGGACTGTTTAACCTGGCAATGTATGACACAAGTATGATATCTGTCTTTAATTGTCTGACTGATTAGGATTTCATTTTTTTTAGATAATGTGTCCATTGATCTAAAAAAAATGAAATGAAATCAGCGTTGAACATGAAATTTTTCTTTTTATGAGAAAAGAAAAATTTCATATAAAGATAAGAAAAATTTCATATAAAGATATACTTTTTCTGTGAAAGACTGCATGCAGTCTTTCACAGAAAGGGGTGCAATTGCTTATCTTTATATGACCAGGCAAATTACATTTTGCTTTGAAGAATTGTTAATGGCTTTTTCATTTTAAAAACATGCTGAATGAAAAATATTTTGAATTATACCTTACGTGAAATAAATTACATCAAAACTTTTAACAAATGTTTTTATATTGGCAAAACATTTTTAAATAAAGTAACAATTTACTGATAATGGTTTTTTTTAAAAGTATAATTGATAGTTGTATATATTTTTTTAATTTATAATATATATGTTGTTTAAATGCGTATTTTTTATTATAAACATTATTAAAAATAAAAAATTGTTTTGTTTTTATAAAAGATGACATTCTATGAAAACGAAAGTCTCTTTAATCAATTTAGATATAAGAATATTAAAGTTAATTAAACAAAATTTCATTAAAGAAAAAAAGACAAATGTTTTTGAAAGCCGTTTCAATTAAATATGCTTTTTAATGAAGTAACAAAACACTTTTAATGAATTTTTATAATAAGTGTTTTGTAATAACTGTTGTTTTTTTTACTTATATAATTATACACTTCTTATGATAAATGTTAACCGTTTGAAACATATTAAAAAACAAAAAACAAAGTACAAACGTTAAAACAAAGAATAAAATGGCTTTTAATGCGTAAATTAAATAGGCTAAACATTTTAGTTTGATGAGTTTTGTTTTAGTTGGGTTGTATATATAAATTTTTTTTTGTGTGTTTTTGCTTTAGTTAAGTATATTTTTTATTTTAATTTTTGTTAAGATTTTTTTTTTTTTTAAGGTTTTTTTTAGATAAGTTTAAGTAAGTTTTTGTAGCGCATTTTTAAATTTTGAAAATATGTCAAAAGCCGTGGTCAAATCTTCAAAACAAACTATTTTTTGCATGGTCATATAATTGCATGCAATCGCACGTCTTCCTGTGAAACACTGGTATGCGTCATCCAGTTCAAAAACAGCTTCTATAGTTCCTTTAATCTCTTCTTTTCTTTGATGTTTAAGTTCAATTTGGTCATACATGTTGTTGATCATAATATAAATAGTGAATAAAATGATGTTGATCATAAGTAGGGAACAACATAAATAGTGAATAAAATCAAAAATTCTTTGTTTTAGACAAGTTGAAATTAATTTGAATAATAATTTGAAACTATTAAAATCAATTCCAGAAATATTTTCATCTGACAGATGAAAAGTTGGTAATTTCAAAATATTTTTCAAAGTTTTTAGGAGAAATCAAATTTTTAAATGATTAAATAATTAGTTTTGCAAAGTATTAAAGGCACAGTAATTTATTAGGTTCTCTCCTTTACATAATAGAATTTGAAACATTTCATTCAAACAAAGAATGCAAACTCCTGATGTGGGTTTGTATACAAATAAATATATTATGTCAAGATGAAAGTTAACAAATTATTACAATAAAACCTACCTACAGTTGACAATTTCTTTAACTTTGTTATTGTTTTTATTGAATTAAAGTGTTGTATTAATGTTTGCAAGTTTTCTTGTATTGCTTTGTTGATTTAGTAAGTATTTGTTGAGTTAGTAAGTATTAAATGCGCATATATTCTGCTTGAATGTTAATGTTCATGTATTACCCAGGGGAATTATGAAATATCTGTTTAGGGGGGGGGGGGGGGGGATTTTGAATTATTTTCTAAAAACCGGTATGAAACAAAACAAGTTTATTTTGTTTTGTAAATAATGATATGAAAAGAAACAAAATTTTCTTGTTTGGTTAAAATACAATACAAAACAATGTGATATTTTTTTGTTTTGTAAAAACTGTACAAAACAAAAGTTATTATTTTGTAACGTATCAAACTAAACTTCTGAGAGGATACGAGAAGTGGCAGACGCTAATTAATTAAGCTTTTTAGAACCTTTATTCTTATAATAGTAATGTTATTTTAAACTATATATAAGTAGTTTAAAATATAAAATTTTTCAAATTATAACTTTTTTCTGTTGAATAAGTAAATGTTATATCATATCAAAATGAACGCCAATTTATTTGAGCATGTATGTTAAGGAAGACCATGACAAAATTTTTGGCAGCAAAAATAAAAAACTAAAAGTATTAAAAAAGGCTTATAATTATAAGCTTTATTATTACTATTATTATTTTTGTGTGTGTAATTAAGTGCTATTAAATGTTTGTTATTTTAAAAAGTTTAATATTACTTACCTTAATACTTGTTTGTTATTAGAAAAAAGTTAAATTAATTTTGTAGCAATCAGTAGAAAATCACAATGTAAAGAAACATCTTAGTTTTCACTTTAAAACTTAGGTTGTTGGAGATCTTGGAAATATATCTGCTGATTTGAAGGGAAATTCAATATTTAAATATATTGATCATTACATTAAGGTATTATATTTTTATAGTTTTTATGGTGAGTACTTTTTTTCAAATAGCTTGAAGCTGTTGTTTCTCTCAACTTAAGCAGGAAATAGAAAGTCTTTCTATCTGTAAATAATTTATTAGTATTATATATAGTGTTACTTTATTGTGTGTGGGACAAAAATTTAATTACTAATTACATAATTACTATATTATATTAGAGTGGGTCAAAAATATTTTTTCTAACATGGTTTAAAAGATGCTTTTTGATGATTGAGGAAAATACAAATCTTCTGGATGACACAGCTATGATATCTGTCTTTAATTAGACTGATTAGGAAGAATATTTTCCAACAGTTCCCATATTATTACTTTTGGGTAGGCCTTTTTGTGTTGCAAACTGTGTCAAAAATATTTTTTTTAACATGGTTTAAAAGATGCTTTTTGATGATTGAGGAAAATACAAATCTTCTGGATGACACAACTATGATATCTGTCTTTAATTAGACTGATTAGGAAGAATATTTTCCAACAGTTCCCATATTATTACTTTTGGGTAGGCCTTTTTGTGTTGCAAACTGTGTCAAAAATATTTTTTCTAACATGGTTTAAAAGATGCTTTTTGATGATTGAGGAAAATACAAATCTTCTGGATGAAATTTTTTGTTTTGTGGCAAATTCAAGCGAAGCTTATTTAAATTTTGGAATTACTCAACAAGCGATTTCACCTTGTCTCAAGACAGTGTTAATTTGCAAAACCTGATTTTTTTGTTTTTCTATTAGTATTATAAAGAACAAGCTAATCAGGTTTTGAATGAATTTAAAAAAAACGAATTGAAAAATTTGAAAAAATTGAGAGGTTTTTTTGCATTGAATTGTGATAAAATACTGCATTCACTACAAAAAGCAAAAGCATAGAAAATTGCGGAGTAACCTTAGGGTGCATAAACTTTTATGGCTTAATTGAATAATCATAAAAAGAAGCTTGAGCTATAAACCTTATGAAATTAGCTAGTTTTTTATTAAAAAACAATTTTTACGATTTGTTTTTTTGTTGTTGTTTTTTTCATCATTTTTTTTTCTTTTATCATTTAGCTTTCTAAAAAATATAGAATGTTTTTGTCTGAGGTTTTTATTAGGGGCCACCATTTATTAGGGGCCACCATTTAAATATGTTACGATAAATTTAACTTTTGAATAAAAGTATGATTATTGTTCTCTTGCATGGAGACATTCAACATAAAGTGCTTTTGAAGTTTAATTACTTTAAATCTTCGTGTAGAAACTAATAGTATCCTACTTCTATTTTAAAGTTTAATTTTGTGTGATTTGTTTTTATTATAAATTAAGTCATAGTAAATTTACCTTTAAACTAAATCAAAACAGTTACTCAACTATTAAATGTACTTAGTAGGCTTAAAGACTTAATTTAATTGTACTTAGTAGGCTTAAAGACTTGCAACTATTAAATGTACTTAGTAGTCTTAAAGACCTGCAAAAGTTGCATAGAAATGTTTCTTTGGCTAAAATTTTTAAAAATTATTTTAACAAGAAATTTCAAATGCAGAAATTTCAAAAGAGTATAAAAAATGCAATAAATTATTTTTATATTTTTATTTTATTTATAGTAATATCACATTTTCTATAAATATGTAAGTTGTTTTTAGGAATTCATTTTAAAAAGAAATCGATTTGAACAAGAGTCCTATTCAAATAATCTTAAATTGAAATTAAAAAAGTTTCGAAAATCCAAAATGAACTTTGCAAATTTTTAATGCTTGCTTACAATAATTATAAATTTATTTGAATGGAAACTGCAGCGACTTTATACCCAGTGGCATAACGAGGAACATTCCCGAAAATTATAATGAAAAACATAAATTTAGCTACAGTAACAAAATTTATAAGATAGTGCAAGTGAGGAAGTTTTATTTATATTGTAAACATTTAAAATTTAGAAGGTAGTGTACAAAAATTTATAAGATAGTGCAAGTGAGGAAGTTTTATTTATATTGTAAACATTTAAAATTTAGAAGATAGTGTACAAAAATTTAGAAGATAGTGCAAGTGAGGAAGTTTTATTTATATTGTAAACATTTTTAATAGTTTAATATTTTTTGTTAATTTTTGATTCTTGAAACTAGTTTAAAAAGTTGAAACATTCAATTGCAAACATTAAACGAGTGAAAGTAAAACAAATTATTAAAAATTTCAATTTTATTATTATAAATATTTAATTCTGTTCAAAATTTTTTTTAGACTTGGCATACTTAAAATAACGGCCTTAAACTTTGTATTTTTGCCTGTTAGTGCAATATGGTTTACAAATGTTGTTGAATTTCGATCTAATTATTTAGGTAATCAATCAACTCCTGTATTTTCTTTTCCAACAAGCAAAGATGTAAAAAGCAAGTGAAATCTTTACTATCTACAATTTAGATCTACTCCAAAATAGATCTACTAAAAAAAAATAGATCTACTAAAAAAAAAGAGATCTACTAAAAAAAAAGAGATCTACTAAAAAAAAATAGATCTACTAAAAAAAAATAGATCTACTAAAAAAAAATAGATCTACTAAAAAAAAATAGATCTACTAAAAAAAAATAGTTCTACTAAAAAAAAATAGATCTACTAAAAAAAAATAGATTTACTAAAAAAAAAGAGTTTTTTAAGAAAATGAATATCAATCATTTTTAATGAACGATTCTTTACTTAATTTAGAATAAGTCAATGAGAAAGACAGCCCTCCAGGGTATACCTTTTCAATGAGAAAGACAGCCCTCCAGGGTATAACTTTTCAGTGAGAAAGACAGCCCTCCAGGGTATACCTTTTCAATGAGAAAGACAGCCCTCCAGGGTATACCTTTTCAATGAGAAAGACAGCCCTCCAGGGTATACCTTTTCAATGAGAAAGACAGCCCTCCAGGGTATAACTTTTCAATGAGAAAGACAGCCCTCCAGGGTATACCTTTTCAATGAGAAAGACAGCCCTCCAGGGTATAACTTTTTAATGAGAAAGACAGCCCTCCAGGGTATAACTTTTCAATGAGAAAGACAGCCCTCCAGGGTATAACTTTTCAATGAGAAAGACAGCCCTCCAGGGTATAACTTTTCAATGAGAAAGACAGCCCTCCAGGGTATACTTTTTCAAAATATAATGATTATGTTGTTTTTTATAAACTTTAATTAAATGGTGATTGTTTGCTAGAAGTTATAGAATGTATTGAGATTGATAAAGACTTACATGTGAAATTGTTCATAAAGAGTTTTCCTGTATCTTTTCTCCAATGGTTCAGACATGGAACCAATTGTAAACTTAGTAAAAATTTCAAAGAAGGCAAGTTTGTTCGGCTTATATAATCCAATATATTTTGCTGCTACATTATACATCACTTAAAAAATATAAATTCTTCTGGAAAATATTCTCTTACTTTCTGTTTCCCTTTTAAACAAGATAAAAGAAGATAAAATTGATTTAATGAAAGTTGCAAAATTATTGATGGAAAAAAAAAAAATTATCAAAGGATTATTCTTTTATTTGATGAAGTACAAAAGTGTGCAGAGTATTGTGGAGGAGAGTTTATTGGCACCAATAATAAGAATGAACTTTATAACAGTATTGTATGTTTTCTGATTATATGGTTAAAAGAAAATGTACCATGTATTATAAAACATTACTGCAAAGTTGTTTTTTCAATATAAGCTTGTGTTAGTATACAACAAATTCGCTACATTGTTTTATTGCTGTTTGATACAATTTATAACATTAAAAACATAAAACTCGTTTAAAATAAAAAGAATTTAATTGGTTAAAAGATGAAATTTTGAGCTCCTTATATGTTTTGATTTAAAATATATCTCTAAAACCACTTTAATTTAAATTTTTTAGATAAAACTATTTTTAGAGTAAGTGCTGTGTGATAAAATAATAATTTTTCAACCTACTTAAAATTATTGAAGTTGCAAGTGTGTTTATAAATTTCAAAAAGTTTATTTGTTGTTCAATAGCTGATAAAAAAAAGGTTAGATACAATTTGTTAAATAGAAAAAAATTTGTTTTTCCTGCATTCAGTTTTTTCTTTTTTTTTTTTTTGGTGATATTATTGTTAAGTCTGGTGAAATTTTGTGGAAAGTGTTGCATGATGTTCACTAAAATGATGAAAATTTGGATGCAAATTCGAGAAAAACTCATAAAATCTGCAATAAGGTTTTACACCCAGGCAATTTTAAACATATCTGATTTGCACTTGACGTTTTTTCGTGAAACTATAATAGCTGCTATATGGGAGGTTTCTGATAAATCTAAAGGATGTTTTATGTAGTGAGAGAATAATAAAATTAAAAAATTTGGTAAAATAAATATTATAGAAAATGATATCAAAGCTAGTGAGACAAAATGTTCAGAGAAATTTTTAAATAGAAGACATTTTGAAAAAGTTGTATTGTCTGATTAATCTTGTGAAGTTGCAGTGTATATAGCATAAAAGTTGATAAAAAAGTTTGGAGAATGTTGCAACAAAATTTGCAGTAATTCTACAATAGATTCACAAGATAAACATTTGAATTGTCCAGGTGGCCTGGTGGCCTGACATTACCATCGGCTTATCTTGTTGAATATGTTTGTAATGCTTTTGCATATATCGATTTTGTTTTTGATATTATTAATAGTTCAAAACTGCTAGATAGAAAAGCAGCTCTCAATATTGTTTTCAATATTGCAATGAAACATTAAATATAGAGAACAAATTTATTCTCAATATTGTAATAAAACATGAAATATTAAAAACAAATTTGTTCTCATTATTGCAATGAAACATATAACATTAAGAACAAATTTGTTTTCAATATTGCAATGAAACATGATGCTTTTTTATGCTTTCCCAAGTCCTTGTTCATCACACTATTTCAAACATATACTTCAACAATCATCGAAAAATTAATACTGATTTCATAAAGACAGTGTAATTTCTTTTAAAAGAAGACATCGAGTGAAATAATTTTTAAAGCATTTTATTAAATTTTTGTAAAAGTAATTTTGCATTAAGTTTTATTTAACTTGTTTCATGTTTTGTTTTTTTTCAGTTTTCTAGAATAAATTTGTTTGAACCAATTCTAATCTATAAATTATGGCAAGTTTGACCTGTATCCCTCATTTATGATTTAGTTCAAAGTTTCAATTTGCCATGTGATTATAACTATTTTTTGTTTCTTTTTTCATTTCAATTTCCATTTACTTTCTAATCATGATATAGAAAATAAATGAAAATTGAAAGAACACCATATTCAATTCTAACATAATTAGTTAATAAAAATATTTATATTAAATTTTTTCGGGGTTTTTTTTTTCATATTTTCGTATTGATCAGGACTAAAAAAAATATTTCAAATATTTCAAAAAATATTTCAAAATTTCTGATATATTATTGTGTGTACAACAGCTCTAATTAAAATAAGCAAGACATTATTGGGCTTTTATAAAAATCCTGTTTAGATGTTTTTGTGAATTTAAAACTGTGATTTATGAAAGTTGTGAATACATATAAAGATATAACATAAATATAAATGGCCTCCTATTTTTTGGGCGAAAATGCAGAATGTAAGGTATTTGAAGAAGGCCATGTTTCACTTTATTGTATTGCAAAACAGTTTGAGCAAAAAAATTGAATTAAAAAAAAAAAAAAAAAAAAAAAAAACTGTAACAAAAAAAACATCAACTTGAAAACCCTTTGAATTGAAAACCCTTTGAATTGAAAACCCTTTGAATTGAAAACCCTTTGAATAAAAAAATTATTTAAACTTAAATTTTTAATAGCACGCTAGAATAAGGTTTTTAAATTGTTTGTTTTTTTAGTTACTTGTTTGTTTGTTTTTTTTATTTGATCTTACTCGTTTGGTCTATATATAGAACATGTTTTTGCAAAAGTATTAATTTTAAAGTTTTATGACAATATTTTCATCTATATATTTTCATCAATATATATAGAGCATGTTTTTGCAAAAGTATTAATTTTAAAGTTTTATGACAATATTTTCATCTATATATTTTCATCAATATATATAGAGCATGTTTTTGCAAAAGTATTAATTTTAAAGTTTTATGACAATATTTTCATCTATATATTTTCATCAATATATATAGAGCATGTTTTTGCAAAAGTATTAATTTTAAAGTTTTATGACAATATTTTCATCAATTTAAATTTATTAATTAGAATAGTTCTAAATATTTACTTCTTTTTATTTTAAACGTGTTTTGTGTTTTTATCTTATAAATTATAAAAAACAGCAATAAAAAAGCGTAGCAAAAGCTTTTTACATTGAAAAAACAACTTCCTAGTCCGTTTTACAGTTTAACTTCCTAGTTTTAAAGTTTAAGTCAAAAAAATTTAGTTATTCTGATTAGATTGTTTTGCGTTAATTGGAGCCCTGATCTATGATTTCTCTCTCTCTTTCTCTCTCTCTCTCTCTCTCTCTCTCTCTCTCTCTATATATATATATATATATATATATATATATATATATATATATATATATATATATATATATATATATATATATATATATATATATATATATATATATATATATAAATATATATATATATATATATATATATATATATATATATATATATATATATATATATATATATATATATATTTAAGCTATTTCACGAATTCGCTACTGTTGTTGCTGAAATTGTAATGTAAAAGCAAGGTTTAACTGTTTAACAATCTAGAATTTTTTTAAATTCACCAGAAGTGAATATAAAGTCCATTCAACCAAAAATGATCCAAACTCTAAAGCTCAAAATAAATAAAAAATGCAAAAATCATACAGCCAAGTTATGGCAACAGAAAGTTATTTATAACTATAATCCAAATTGTGCTAACTGCTTGTGGCCGATAAAGTACACATTAAAATCACTATTCGTTGTTGTAGAAGAATTACTTAAAACCGTTTTTGTTAAATTTTTATATAACAACTTAGACTTAACAAGAAAAATTGGCGATAAATATTCATAAGTTTTTTAAGTTATATATATATATATATTTTTGACAATAAAGAAAACAAAGTAAAAAAAAAATCTGTTAAGGTTAAAACTTATATAAACGGTAGTAAATTAGATACAATGTTACGCTAGTCCCTTAGACCTAAGGTGCCATTCCAATCAATCATTCCAATCGAAATAATTGTTACATTTACCTCATAGGTATTAGCATATTTTATATGTTTGACATATTTTCTGATTAATTTTATTAATTTTTTTAGGTTTGGGATGTTATTGGTAGATCTGTTTGCTTACACGAAAAGGATGTTGATTTAAAAACGTCTAAACATTCAGATGCTGGTGAAAGGTTTATTACTATTATATTTTTTATTTTAGTATTTAGTGCCAGCTTTGATTTTTACGATTTATTTTATGTTAAAATTGCATTAGCATTGCTTGCGGAATAATAGCACGATCTGCTGGTATGCTCGAAAATTCGAAAAAAGTTTGCACTTGTTCTGGCAAAACATTATGGGAAGAAAGAGAAGAAACTCGGGTCCATTAAATTAAGATTTAAGGTTTTTAATTAGATTTATAAAAGCAACTCTGATGACCAAATTTTGATGAATCTGATTATCTTCTTCAAGTATGGTGTATCACTAAAAGATTTATCTATTTTATAAAACAAAATTCTTTTAATGATCGTTTCTCGGTTCGTTTAAGTGCAACTTATGTAACTATTATTAGTGTTGTATAACTATAATTGTATGATATATAATTATATAATGTTATATAACTACAATTGTATATAACTGTAATACTTCTGAAGCCAAAATATTTGACTTCTCTTTGAAGCAGTTTGTCGTTGTGTTTTCATTTTCTTGAAATTTGTTTCCTCCTTTATAACGATGAATCGATCTCATATAAATATGCAACCATGAATTGATCTCATATAAATGAGATATTAGGTTAGTACAAATAATAATTTTTTTCACACAAATGATATTTTTTATAAATTTAGTTTTAATAGTTTTAGTTTCATAATTTTTTGTTTCAAAGTTCAATTTAACTATTGTTTTGCTTTAAAATGCCAAACGAACGTAACGATTTAAAATCCTATGTTTGCCCAGTAACTATGTTATTGCCCTAAGTATTTATCTAAATTCTTTTTTTTCTCTTTAAACGCAACCATTTTATTTAAATATTTTCATATTTCATTTTAATATATTTTCTCTTTGAACACAACCTGAATCTAAAAGCGAAAATTGTTTTTACTTTGCTTTATTTACTTTTCTCTTTACCGCTAAATTTTTTGTAGCTTTTATTTATTTTTTTAAACACCTTTATAAGAGAAGTATTTATTATAAAACTTTTTCTATTAATCTTTTATGTCGTAACTTTTGTTTGTTTTTTAAATAAATTTTGAATTTATAAAACTAATTTTGAAAAACTAATGCCACCTAGTGTTAATGTTATATATTTTTATACCTTCTAAAATCTCTTTCTTGCCTCAAAAAGACATGCAGTGATGCGATCTCCTTCCTTATCACTTTGCAATTCTTTGTAATCATATTGCATGGCTTATTTAGCATCTTCAAAATCCCTCAGATTATGTATAGATGATCATTTATTTTTTTATTCGTCATTGACATTTTCAACACCAAGACAAAATATTGAGCTATCTATCTCAACGAATGCAAAATCGATTATTTATTATGTAAAAAATAATAAAGTCAAACTGCTGTCATAACTTCATCACACAGTAAAGTAGTAAAATTCCTTTAAGTGACGTCGCTTATCATCATCTTATCGTCATGACGTAATAGTCATAATTTTAATAATAATCAGTTTCTTATAATTTATATTTTTTGTTCTTAAACACAATTAAACAAATAAAAAAGAGCAATAAAATTAACTAATGATTTGTTTATTAATTAATGATGACTCATTTATTTAATTCAACCTGCTGAAGGCTTCTATCGTTCCTAAATGGACATTGTAAGTTTATTCGCAAAAGATAATTGGCATCGCCATACAAACAAAGTTTGTTTCCCTCAGTGTCTAAACATAGTTGTCCGCAGGATTTTTTGATGTTTCAGATCAGACACATTCACGCATTAAGCATACTCCAACTTGAGTATGTTCATAACTATAACAAATGGGGTGGCCTTGAAAAAGGTTTGGGATGACGGCCTGGGAACAAAAAAGTTCTAAAACGTTCCCACCCACCCCCTTCCTTCCCAAACGCAATTGATGCAGCTAAGTTTTTAACTTTACTATCTTAAACTAAATTTGAATTTATCGGCAAATTTAAATTTCGTAAAAAAATGTTTTATATTACGAAAGTAATGACCATGCAAAACTTACAATCCTCAGTTTGGAGGTAGACGAAAATTTGCACGGTCATAACTTTTGCAGGGAAAAGTCGGGTAGCCCCGGACACTCAAGGAAAAAATATTTGTACACATGGACTAACAGAAAACAAAATGTTAAATGGCTTTTTCAAAAGTATAAACATTTATTTATTTATCTCACATATAAGGTATAGGAATGAAAATGTCATCATTTACAAATATAAATATTAGTTTTTTACTAATGAAAATACCGTAAGATTAGGTGGCTTTAGCCCATTTTGCATCTTAATGTCTATTGCATGAAAGCCACAAAAGTTATTTCCTTAAACACTAAGTACTTTTAGAAGTGCATAGAAAGGACAGTTAGAACTATCTGTCTCCCATTTGAAAATTATTTACCTGAGGTATCTTTTGGGTGGTTTAAACAATGGGCCAAAGTCGCCCTATGTGTTAGGGTGACTTTGGCCCAACCCTGTAAAAAGGAACTAAAGGAAGCAAAACAACAATAAAAATAACAATATTTAGGCAAAGAAAATAAATTTACAAAAATAAAGTGACAAAAAAAGATTTAGTAACAAAGTTCTTGTATACAGTAAATAAAATATAGCTACAAACTAAACAAGTATAGGTACCAAGTAAACAAAACAGTTTAGGTATAAAGTAAACAAAAATGACAAAAATAATGTTTTAAAAAAATTTAGTGAAAAAGTTCTGGAACTGAAAAAATTCCTCTCTTCGAAATTTTCTTTGCTTCCTCAATAAAATCGACTATTTCAGACTGGGGAAAAAAAAGTTGCTCTGCTGGTAGTGACCATTTCCAGTTAAGTCCATTTTTTTTTAATAGTAGTAATTTCTGCTCCATTTTTTCTTAATTTTTTCAACTGCAGAAAAAAAATTTCGAAATAAAATTTTTCAGTAGTTTCGTTAAATAATATTAGTTATTAAGTTAATTAGTTATAAAGTAAACTAATTGATTAGCTAAATATAAATAACTCAAAATAAAAAAACAAACCTGTCCAGGATTTAACTCTCCATTGCATTTAACAATTACATAACAATTCTCTACAAGATTTAATAATTTCTCCTTTTTACAAACATTTTTTTGTTTTATCAATATTTTGAAAGTTCTTTTTGCCTAATGCTGATTGATTTAAAGATTCTGTATGACTTTCCACAACTAAACTTACATCTGCAAAAATTAAAATGCAAAAAAATTAGATTGAAGTCTCAGTAGTTCCAGTATTTATACTTGGGCCAGCAAAGTCAATGTTTTTGGTCTCAGTTGTATTTATAATACTGATAGGTGTATCTACATTATTTGAATTTAATCTATTATTTTCATTTATTAATCTATTATTTTCATAACACAAGATGATATATTTGTTGAACATAAGCTTTTATCTGGGACAGCACATACTTTACGTTGCTTAGGTTTTTTAGAACCATCTGAGGGATCATCCAGTGACCTAAAAAAATTCGGATTTTAGTTGCTTCTTCTAAAGTGCAATTTACAATAATATCACAAAGACTCTAGTTAAGTAAACTAAGTTAATAAAATAAATAATAAATTTCCCACAATTTGCTACTAAACATCAACTGGCATACCTTGAAGTATCGATTTTAAACCATTTTTAAAGAAAAATTTCGCTTGGGCTAAAGTCATCCCGTTGGGCCAAAGCCACCCAATCATACGGTAAACACAATACTTTTTTCAAATCTTAGGTCTTTTTGTTGGAATTAAATGAATAACTATTATGAATTTGTTTATTCAATTTAATGCATTATTATTTATGTATACAAGTTGCTCGTTTTTAATGTGTAAACGAATTATATTGTCCGGAACCACCCTCCAAACATGTGTCCGATACCACCCAATCATTTCTCATTCACAAATACTTCTTTTAAAACCAGTGAATTGAAGTAATTAGACAAATTTTTTTAAATAAATATTGTAAACAAAAATGTTGAATCAATAAAAAGTTATTAGTTTACATAAAAGTTAGTTATATTAATCAAATGTGAATCAAATATGATGATACATCGCTTTTCTGGTAGTCGGAAACAATATCTTACTCTCCCAGCCATTCGCTTCGGCATATTACAGTAGATAATTAACATGTGACAGATTTTCACTTTAATGTTTTTACATTATTCAAAATCGCTAATCTTTTTTAGTTTAAGCGGTACATGGCGTACATCTGGCGTTACCCGCCGTCTGGGGCCACCTAATTTACAATATTTTTTCCCTAATTTACAATATTTTTCTATAAAATTTAAAATCTATCGATAAATTTAAATTTAGTTTAAGAAAATTAAGTTGAAAATTTTCATATATGAAAATTTTGTGTGTGCACAAGTCATAAGTGAAAAATTTTGTGTATGAAAAGTGAGCGCACTGATGTATACATCAGTGCGCTCACGTTTGGGAAGAGAAGGAGGCAAGCGTTATAGGGCTTTTTTTGTTCCCAAATCCCCGCCATCCAACTTTTTTGCAAGATCTCCTCATTTGGCATAGGTAGAACATACTTAAGTTTAGAATTAGTAAATTTCTATAAAGTTAAAAATATTTGTTTTTGAAAAATTTTAGCAAAAACTTAGTCATGAATGGAAACACACTTTTTAAAAGTTTCTTATGCTTAACGTTTTTTAAACTTAAAGTGATAGCAAACTTGCTAACGTTTGTACTAACATCGTCTAGAGTTAAAGCACTTTTTGTGTCTGACGGATAATAGCTAGTGAAACTTTTTTATTTTTAACAAAACCCTTACAATTTTTGGAACACTAAACGAAAAAAAAATTAACGACTTGAAATAATTTTAGACAAATATATTTTGCTGTAATAAAGAATGTAACTTTTTAAGGTGGTTCCCCTAGAAAAAAAAACATGATTTTGAAAAAAAAATCAAAATTGTGAATACATATACTTTTTAAATGCCATTCTATACTCTTTCCAATGATATATTATTTGATGGGTCTTTTAAAGTATAAAGATGAAAAAATAGGGTTTTAGAATATGGGTACATTAAAAATGTCCATAACAACGTCATAGCAACACATTTTGTCTGTGTAAATATTTGACAAGTTGACAAAAATAGGTGGTCTTTTTCTTTGTTTTTTTACTTTGATTCTAGAAAGCACTTTATGTTCTATAAATTACTCAAATGTGCACGGATTAAGTAATGGAACAGAAAAAAGTTAATGACAGTGATGTTAGTGTGGTTGACAGAAATATATTTTGCTTGTTTGCAAATGCTATGTTTGTTATGCTTTATCAATGTTATTTATTTTGTTTTTAATAAATATTGTTTCTAGATAATAACAGTTTCAAGAATAATTTTAAGTAAGTGTATTTTGTTCTGTTTTAAAATATTTTGGAATTTCAAACGGTTACTGTTTTGGCCAAATATCTGTTAAGAGAGATAAAAAATGTATTGATAAGAGCACTAAAAAGACGAATGAAAAAGGAAAAATCAAGAGAAAAAAAATAAGGGCTGCTAAAAAGGGTTATATTGACCTAGAAAAAGCCAAGGAAAGTTATTTATCCGGTGGATTTTAAATTTGTATTATTTTTTTTGTATTTAAGTTTTTAAATTGTATTTTTTGCGAAATATGATTTTCATGCAATTTTAAGTTTTTCAAACCTCATATTTTAATAAATATTGAACTTAATCACTTGAAATTTTCAGGAAACCTTTTTCAAACATATACCTAAAAACTGAGCGAAAAATAATTACTGATTCTTGATTTATTTTAATTTTTTTCAATTTTATATTGATATAGAGGGTTTCAAAAGTGTATTTTTTTACGTTGACCGCCATTATGAGTTTTTAAGCCGTGGCGCAGTGGTAGCACACTTGCCTCAGAAACGTAAGATCCGTGGTTCAAACCCCACCTCTGGGCAAGTTTTGCGACATCGGTTGGAAAAGAGGCGTGAACTTCCTATTAAATGCTCTTCCGCGGTGCTCTGTGATAAGACCGTAAGGACTTCTTGGGGCACCTAAAATCAACATAAAAAAAAAAAAAAAAAGCCTGTATCTAGATGTTTTTTTTCGCTCATTCCCTTTATATAAATGTAATTTATCATTGTACCAAATTTCATCTTATATACATTTGTTGTTTTAAAATTATTGAGTCCCAAGTTTCTCCTCATTTTGCTCATAAAATGGTAAAAAAATGCTGACTCAGCTTTAGAAAATGCCTATTTTGTTATAAAATCACAAATTTTAAATTCGTATTTATTCCTAGTATTAAAAAATTGATATAAAAACAATTCGTTATTGCTATAAAAGAAAATAGTTTTTTTTAGGGGAACCACCTTAAATCTACGCCACAGTTAAAAGGTTAGAAACTTTTGTCTTAAACAATAATAAAAAAAATCTTCTATCAGTCATTTTGTTCAATAAATTTTGCATCAGCCTCTCAGCCATATTGAATTTGGTGACAATACAAACTCAGCAAGAAGAACGTTAGTACAACAAAAATATTTTTTTTTTATCATATATCACTTTTGTGATCATCATCAATTAATCTAAAAGAAGTTTGTTAAGACTTAGTTGATTTGCTTTTGCATTGACTTTAAAATCAGGGGTCCGACTTGATTGTTCAAACTATTAAATCAAGTCCATTTAAAAAGAAACAAAAAAGTTAGGTTTTTATTGTTTATTTAAAAGAATCAAAAACTATTTGAATTATTTTTACAAATTAGATTCCAAATAAAATTCCAAAAATAAAAATAAAAAGTTTTTTTTATAAAAAGAAACAATTAAAGTAAAAAGAGGTTTAAATAAATAAATTTCTTTAAATAAAATTTACTGAATCAAAATATGTTGAAAGAAGCTGGAGACAAGATAATAGGTTGTTAGACACTTGTGGTGGAAATCATATAGGTGTACTGTGGTATAATAAATAAACATGCCATTACTTTTTTTTTTAATTTGGGGAAAGTCAAAAAAAAAAATTAATTGGTTTAATCTAGAAATCAAAGGTTTAAAATCAAATTTTTGAAAACGATAGGTAAACACAAAAACGTTATTTATAATGGAAAATCAGCTGAACGAAGCTGATTTTCCATTATAAATAACAGATGAAAAATTTGTGGATAAAAAAATACCAACAAAACTAAAGAGTTTCATAAGAAACTAAAGAATAAAAATAAAATAAAAAATAGTATTTTTTTTAAAAAAAAAAAAAAAAAAGAATATAATTTTATACAAAATATAAAAGTATTTTTAGCTTTGAGTTTTAGTTTCCTAAAGATATTTTAATATATTCTTTTTTAACCTAAATTTTTTTTATAGATATTAACAAATTTATATATTAAAAGTTGGTTTCCAAGAAAATAAATTACAATAAAATTTTATAGGAGACTACTACAACTGCAAAAACGCAGTAAAAATTTTCAGATTTGAAGTGTCCTAATTTAAGCCAATCATAAACGAATTGTTGGCGACAGTCTTCTTTGTTTTGCTGTATACATCTTTTCTTTTCTCAGTTCATATTGTTCAATTACTTCCATTCCTTTAGGCTTGCAATTAAAAAAAGGTACTCGACGACATGGATTTTTGCGCAAATGTAACACAAGGGTTATTTCAAAGGTACTAATAATTCCTTTTTCTGGAAAAATACTTCCTAAATTTATTGTTTTGGTTCCATCTTCGATAAGCAGAATTAATTTGCAACCTTTAAGTCCGTACGGCTCGTGCTTCGATAAGTTCATAACATCTCCAGCTGTTCTTAACGTTAAATAATCCGATATAGTGATACAGTGGGTAATTTCATCGTGCTCATGCTCAACAATTGATTTAATTTCACTTGCTAACTTCTGCTGCATATACATTTCCTGATATTCTTTGAATGTTCCGTAATGGTCGGTTTTTTCATCTTTTTCTTCTCCTGAAAAAATAAAATAATAATTTAAAATTTAAAGTATATTACTTGTCGCTTGTTTTTTATTTAAAATATTTTCTAGTTCTTTATTACAATTCTTAATTCTTTATTACAATAAGAATGTTACTATAACTTATACATAGTATAACAAAATATAGGTTTTTGATGTCTCTTAGTGTTTTCAAAGAATTATTTTATTGGAATGACTATTTAGTTGATCAACATTTTATCAGTGTTTTGAACATAAAGAAATTGGTTCGCAATGTCAGGAAGTTTTATTATATGTCTGGAAACTAAAATAAGCTCTTTCCTGATTGAACTTTGTCAGGAAAACTGACACAAAAAGTCATTTAAAATTTAAAAATAGTTCGAAAAAAACATCTTTGTTCCATGCCTGTATGTTAGCTTAGTTATCTCAAACATCAAAAAATGCTGAATCCTCTCCTGATCCCCTTGTAGCGTGTATGTATGTATATATATATATATATATATATATATATATATATATATATATATATATATATATATATATATATATATCGAGTTTACTAAAAGTGCTTCGAGACAAAACTATATCCTTAATCAAACAGCAACCACATAGAATGAACTACTGGATAAAGTAGTTGATTCTTATAACTAAAATGAGTTCAAAAACAATCTTGACAAGTATTAACAAAAGAACGATAATTTAAGCAAGTTATTTTTGTGAATGGCTATTGTGAATGGCTGTTTCATTGTGTAAATCACACTTTGTGTGTTAATACATTAACACACAAAGTGTGATTTACACAATGAAACAGCCATTGTTAATACATCTTGTATTTTAAAACATTAACAATGTTTTAAAATACAAGATTTACAAATTAAGTCACGCAATTTTGGACTATTTTAGATCCCTTCCTCCTCATCACAACATCGTGACTCTTTAGTAACAAATTTGTATGAGTTGTCACAAAACCACTACCCCCTCCTTCTCCAAGGCGTCACGCCTGGGGGGAAGGGATTATTTATATTTTATTAATATAATTTAGAGTGTAATAGTTTTATATTTATTTGTTAGTTCAATCTAATCAAAAACATTTGTATGTGTGTATATATATATATATATATATATATAAACGAATAATTGCATTTTTAACGAACATATTTTTTGTAGAAATTATATTAATTTTTTTTTAAAGTATATAATGCTAAATTAACGCTATATAATATAAATATAGAAAAATCTAAAATATTCAAAATTAAATAAAGAAAAAATGGAATCAAGTTTATTAATTAAAGATAAATAACAGGAAATTTCTTAAACAAATATGCTCAAGTGTTTTTTGGGTAATAAATTAATTTAGTATTTTCTATCGTTTGTTATTGACTTTTGTACATAACTTTTTGATTTTCTCAACAAACAAGATTTTCTCAAAAATTTTAAAAAGAGATGACAAAAAGTCATGTTTTAAGATAACTCGCTCTTTTTAAAACATGACTCGACAAATAAATTTGCAAAAAAATAACTTTCTAATATTCCAAACAGCTACTCTATGTTTTCAAATATATGGCTCACTTCTGTTCGTTTCCGGCAAGAAAATTTTTCAATCATCTAAAACTATCAAACCTTTTATAATCACTCGAAAAAAAGAAAGTTCTATAGAAGTTTGGCCTTAGTGGTGATTTGAACATAGCCCTAAAAATCAACGCTGACACAGTATTTAAAAAAAAAAATTACTGACACAGTATAAAGAAAAAACTCAGAGCAATGCTTCGCAAAACATTGCGGCGGTTTTTCAAAAACCATCCTAATTGTATTCTCAAATATCTAAAAATAACGTAGAATTTTAATATATTTTAAAATCCAAAATGAACTACTGGTATTTTATGAGATTTCGAGATTCATTAATTCACTATTAATTAAGTTAATTTATATAAATAATTATTTGCAAAGATAAATGTTTCAATACATTATACTACTTTAAAGTATATTGTTTTAAAATTACAACTTTTAAAATAGATCAATTAAGAATTAGAGACTTGAAAATATCAAAATATAATAATGAAAACTTTATATTTCAAAACTTTATCTATTCAAATCAATAATATTAAGTGGTTGCTTTATCATTAAGTTCGTCCTCATTCTCCCTGTATATATTTTGTTTCTTATTAAATAAAACAGCAATTCACATCACAAGCTACAGACTATTTTTATCAACACCAAAAATCATAATATAAACCGCAATATATTGTGGTTTCATTTATTGTTTGTTTAGGCCATCAGGGCTAATTGGCAAAACCAAGGGTTGAAAAATTCGCCTAAATATATGCACGTCGTCAAAAATACAAACAAACAATTTAAAAGACATACTTTTTTGTGTGTCAATTATTTTAATTGGGAAACTAAATTTATTTCAACTTAATTTTGCCTATTTAAATTTCTATTAGGATTTTTGTTTAATTTTGTCCTCATATAGAAATTGTGCAACATTTGCCAATGAGATCTAAAAGTATAAACTTGTTAGAAAATATCGTAAAAGATGCATAAAAAAGATTTATAATTTAAAAACGTTTTTGATAATAGCTAGATAAAACATTCCCAAACTTGTCTTTTGTTTTTTGATATTTTTTACCACTGTGGTCAGCTGAAATTTGGCGCCGATCTGACCTACAATAACCTTCAGATTTGCGTAATAGTTCCTTATATACCGCACTAACTCACTGAACCAAAATATGACTTAGTTACAAGTTGCACGTAAATTTAGAGCAATATGTTTTGCAAAAACCTTTGTAATTTTGCATTTGAAAATTTGATCTCATACGTGTATTAAAAGAAATTTAAAAATTTAAGATCCAAGAAATTAAGAATCATAGTTTAAAATTTTAAATGACAAAATTAGTAAACAGTTATATTTCTAACAATTTATTTATTTTGTAATCAAACAAAAAGTATTTTTGGCGACTATGTCTAAAGCATATTTTTACCATTAATTTCAAGTAGAGTGAGAGACAAAGACGCCGCAAACTAATCATCCGTACGTAATTCACAATTTGTTGTTGTTTTAACGCAATGGAACGTTTCAATGACGATTTTGCAAGACAAACAGGGTAAATAAAATAATGTTTTTTGCTAAACAAGGCAAAAGAAAACTTTTACGCGATTAGACTTGTTGAGCAAATAGTGACGCAAATATTTAACTATTAAATGAAAGTCTCAAACTCCTAATTGATGTCATGCAGTATAATTTTAGCTTCGAATTTTATAGCTCAAAAGTTACTTTTACAAAAATGTTACTTTTATACCAGAAGTCTAAATTTATTTTATATTTACAGTATTTATTTTATGCCATTTAAATTTTGTTCGTATAAATTTTTTTCCACAACAAAAAAAAAACCCTGCTTGTCTCGTTTTGGTAAATTTTTTAAGCACTTTTTTCTTTATGTTGATTGTAAAAGCTATTTTGGGAATTTAAACGAGTCGTTTAACTAATATCAGTTTGTTATTCTATTATTTATTAAAATAATGTCTGATAATCGTGTTCACTTCCGTTAAATGGTTTTTACTATTCAAAGATTTTTAAGCGTAAATGATAATTTCAATTTTAAACGTAAAGTTTAATAAAAATATTAATTGCTTTGTTAGAATTTTTAAATACTTTTCTTTAGAAATAGATAAAGAAGAAAAGAAATAAATAAATGTTATAAAATAATATGCATTGTACCTGAAAATCTTGAAACTTTTATATAAGAATCCTCAATCTCACAACTGTTTTCCAAACTATGATAACCAGATGATTTTAAATTGCTCGAATCTTCATCATCAGATGTGTCTAGAATTTTCTGATCAGAATAATTGTTACCCTCTTGTGTCTTAAGTGCTGTTGAATAAAAAAGAAATCGAAAAAAGGTCCATATGCTACTGCCTTTTTCAAAGCTAACAAGATTTGTTTTTGGTTCGTTTTTATACAACTCGCATTCCTTTGATACGTTGTTTTTTTCTAAATTTTCGTTTTTAAAGCTCGACGTTAACATATTTTTTTTTCAAAGTTTATTATTTTTTCTAATAGTCGCAAATTATAATTCTATTCCTGAAACAAATCCAAGCTAGTCTTTTCAAAAAAAAAAATCTATAACGTTTACCAGATTCTTGTATTTAAATTAATAAATTTGCAACTATATGTAACACTAACAACGCGCTTTCAATGCGATCAATGCACTATTTTATTTACGCGAGCTGTGGATATGATTGACACATCAAATAAAATAAAAAAATTTAATTTATATCTAAAGGGAAACTCCCGACGTCGTTTGGAAAACAAGCTTAACCAATTAAAAACCGAATATTTTCAAAATTGAGCTTGTATAATGTTATGCTAAAAAGAGAATGCTTGCGTCAGTTCAAATCAAACGACCGAAGGAGAATCCCGTAGAGTAAAAGAAGTTTTTTAAAAAGAAAGGGGAATCTAAAAAGAATTGCTTTTTATTTGTTTTTTCGTAATAGAACTTTTTTAACATTTTGATGCAGCTGTCAATTTTAAATGTGTAATAATAAAAAAACTTATACACTTTAACCATAAAAGCCTTCACGGATATATCTTTTGAAGGGTATTAAAAAATGATAAATGATAAAAATATTATACAAGATATAAAAATGCTGAGAAAAAATAGGATACCATTTGAGATAAATTCATATATTTCTGAGATAAGTTCAATATTACCTTTTGAGCCATTTCTTTGTAAAAAATGTGTATTTTTGTTTTAAACCTACTTGCTTCTGCCAAACCACTGTAGGTTTTAAAAAAAAATACACATTAAAAAAACAAACAACTACCTAAAAAAGCACATTTTTATTAAATTACTAAAACGGTTTGGCTGAATGACAATGAAGATAATTATATTTTTGCGCCACGGTAAGGAAAGAATCTTGAACTTCCTGGTTAAACGCACTTCCGCGGTGCTTTGCGACAAGACCTATATTTATCAATCAATTTTAAATTTTATACTGTAATCTTTTAGCGTTCAAAAAAACAAGTTTTCTTACTTCTATTGAATTTAGAGTTTAATGGTCCGAAGTGATTCTCTAAAAATATGAGTTTAGAGGTAAAACAAATAATAGAACTAAATTCTTAAGAATTATTAAACAAAGTTTATTTGCTCTAATTGGTTTATTTTCTTTTAATGATCTGAATTCAAAATTCAGATCATTAAAAGAAAATAAACCAATCGTCTTTCATTGTCAGATTTAATATCTTTAAATTTAATTTCATTGTTTACTTCAAGATTAAAAGGTGAAAGATCATCTTTTTCTTCAATAATAAAAATATTCTGAATATGCTTCTTAAGACTGTTTACAATTCAGTTGGTTCATTCGTGGTTCGTTGGATAAATTACTTTAGACGTAGTAATGGTCTTTATTGAATCTTTGATTGATTTTAAACTATTTAAATATATAGCAATTTAGGATTAAACTTGGCGTTAGAATCTTTTTTAAAAGAATACATTTTTGTTTTCGTTGAAGCTTGTATTCAACTTAAAATCATTCCAATTAAAAACACAATTTTTCTATACAAGATTTTTTTTTTTTCTTTAATTGCTTGATTTCATAGTTAATCCAAGATATCCATAGTGAATCCAAGATATCCATAGTTAATCCAAGATATCCATAGTTAATTCAAGACATCCATAGTTAATCCAAGATATCCAAGAAGTTGTTGAGATTTTAATTAGAGAAGCGTTGCGATAAACAAGTTTTATGCCTCAGTTGTATAATTAATTAAATCGATATAAATGTCTTTCTCTGATTTGTTTTCATATAATTACACCCATTCAATATTGGACATAAATTCAGAGCTTTTACCACACTCAGCTTTGTTAAGTAAAAACTTGAAATTAGTATTAGATAACGTTTTCTCATTATTTTTCAGAACAAAATTAAAAAAAATAGCTCGATGAATCTTGTTTATGCCACCAAGCAGAAAACATGGGTCAACAGCCACGTGTAATCTAAGTACATTTTAGCTAAGATCATTAGCCAATTGAAAAGTTAGTATGTTGGTAAACTTATGACATATACTTTACATTATAAGTTTTCAACAAATTTTTTATAAAAAAATTATTAAAAAACGGATTATCGACTCTCTACGTATATGCATTTTCATACTTCTATTTTTTTAAATAAAAAACGTTAAGTTCATATTGCACGTAAAAATCCCTTATGTACTACGCTCTAGAAATTTCTTTAAAAGTAAACTCCAGTCAAAATCATTAAAAAAATGTTGGCCCTAAAACTTATTTGTAAAAATTGTTACAAAATGACTTTGAAATGACTAAATTTTTATTTTTTTAAAAGCCCTTTAACTTTTAGAAAGTTAAAAACAGCATAAGGTAATAAATTAACTAATGCTGCTTGTAACTTTCTAATAATTATGAAATTTTTATAAAACTAAAAAATTCAGCAAGTCATTTTGTAATTTTGTAACTTTAATATAAACAAAAACATATATATATATATATATATATATATATATATATATATATATATATATATATATATATATATATATATATATATATATATATATATATATACACTTTTTGCTCTTAAGTTTGGGACAGTTTTAGGTCTCTTTTGTTCCCAGGATTCAATCATTGCAGTTTTTTGTAAAGCATATTTGAGATAAAAATAAATATATGAATGTTTAAAGTTTGTTCAAATTTACATCAAAAAATGCTGCATTTACCATTGTATGATAATCATTTTTCTCAACAATTCTTATGTTTTCTAAAAGATTTGCTTGATGCTTTTTGATATAATGTTACTAGAAGGTAGTGTATCTAATTCATCATAGTGTTTAACCTCAATATTTTTGCCGTGTGGTTTTGTCTTGAACTTCTGATCAGTTTATTCTAATTCTTCAGTGTATCATCCAAATATACATCAATTGCTAACGACAATTAATATAATTTAGCAGGACTAGGCAGTAACAGTTTGTATACTGTATACAGGCATAATATACCGTTTGTACAAAAATCACTATACGTTTTGCTGTTTTAGTGCAGTAAAAATCTAACTTATTAAAAATCTAACTCATTGAGTTTTCATAAGGGTTTATGAAAAAATTATGCAATTTTTAAATTATATCACAATCAACTTTAACGATTGATTTTTTAAATGTTTTTCTGAAACAAAACTTTATGATTTTTTAAATTTTCTTTTGCACTATTGCCATCATTGCTACAGTCAAACCCAAAAAATTAAATTTCCGGGTTTTTTTGTCAATACTTTTCTTTTTTGGGGAAGGGGGGGTTTTGTGCAACATTTATTGGGTTTTATGCCTACAAGCTAACCAGTTTATTATCAAACATTGTTAAGTTAATTCTCTAGCTAATTATAAAGGCTACCATTTTTCCTGCAATATTCAAATTTCTGCAAAATAGTTATTTAATTTTTTAAAAAAGTTTTTTTATTAATTACTGGTAAATTTTTATTCATCGACAAATTTTTAATTTTATAAAATATTCTATTAGCGTTTAAAAATTATGACTATATAAAATTTGTAGTCCCCCTGAATTTGAGGGAATTACAAACTTTATGTTTGAATTAGCTGGTCTGAAATGTTCTAATATGTTCTGAAATGTCTGAAAGTTCTGAGTTAGCTTTATGTCTGAAATGTCTGAAATTGTAAAAAATATTTAATTTAATGGTTTTAAACTATAAAATGAGGTCTTTACGTCCCTTCCCCCCCCCCCCCCTCACCCACTCACCCACTTTTTTTCTAAAGAACCTTATTTGTTTTTTTATAGAAAATACAAGATATAGAGGACTTTTTTTAAAAATTGACGATTGAGCCCCTCCACTTCGAAACCCGTGTCGTCGGCCATGGCTTGAGGGTTTTTGTTTCGAGTAATGGGGACTGGATCAATAAAGCAAAGAAACAAGAGACAAAAGCACAATATATATATATATATATATATATATATATATATATATATATATATATATATATATATATATAATAGTTATTTAATTTTTTTAGATTTTTTTCTTTGCTGAATGATACTGGACTCTTTTTTATATTGTAGATGAGAGGTCAACACTAGTAGCAAATTGAAGAATTTTCATTTTTTCCAATTTTACTACTTACAATGTGAGCTAACATGTTTTGAAGAGTATACTTTGTAGAAATCTCAGAAATATGTATACGTTCAGGATAGCATTTCAATTTTTCCAATTGTGCAATGTAAAATATGTGCAGAAAAGCTGAGTTACTAATTTTACATTGTTCATCAGTTCTCCTTTGCTTTGCTCCCCAGTTGCAACGAGACATAAAACTATGTCTTTTGAACGTTTTGTACGTCATTTCAACATTTTGAAGGTGTTTTGAACTTTCAAAAGACGAATTTTTTAGGTCTGAGCTCAATGAGTCTTCAAGAACCCCGTATTATTTACAGGATGTTTCCATTTTTTAGTGATAATATTTTCTTGAAGCTAATGGTATTCTTTTTCTTTTTTTTTCGGTTAAATCTTTCAGTTTTTTGTTTTGTTTTGTTAATTTAGTTTAATTAAGTAACATTACGATTATGGAAGAATCGTAATGTAACCACTCCTCAGTCACGTATATTTGGGATAAAATCAAATCTTTTCATTAACGTTTTTAAAAATTGTTAAAACAATAAAATCGTGACCAGAAATAAGTTTTTATCTTGGAATATTTACTTCAAGAAAATCTTTGAAGATTTTTCTTTGCTCCGATGAGTTCCAGAACTCAATTGCATAGCTAAACTTTTAAAGGTCTTTTTTAGGAATTATATTTTTTAACACAATAATTTTTACTTTTTTTTGTTTTTCATTAAGCTCTCTAGATTTAGTTCATTCCGATTGCATAAACCTATGACATCATCTAGAAAACCTATGACATCATCTAGAAAAGAGTGCTTAGCGGTTTGATTTTTAAACTGGGAATTTACAATACCAAAGTTTGTTTTATTGCTCAATATGCAAATAAGTAAGTTTAACTTGTTTTGCTGAACGATTGTTGATACATCTTGGATGTAAAACAAAGAATGAATATAATTTTTGCTGTGTTTGGAAACATTGAAGAGTGACTTAAGTGCATTCCTCCCTATTATATCAAACTTTTGCATTAATACGTCTTTATAATCGCAAAGTTCAAGACCATACGTAAGTATCGGAACCGCCAATGTTTTTTATAGCTGGTATATATAGAGCTTGGATGAGCAAAGCGGATTC